TTTACTGATCAAACTCTTATTTTTTAAAACATAAGTTTAAGTATTTAATTTTTAAAAACATAACATGTAAATAAATTAAATATTTATCTACACAACTGGCGTGGTGTTTAATTTTGTATCTAAATATTTAAAATTTAAAATAAAAAAAAAGTTTGTTAAGTTTTTATTTTTTATTTAAATAGTTTAATTCTTTTAATAATAAATATGTTGTTAACCTTATGCTTCGTAACAAATATCATTTGTTAATTTTTTTAAGGCTTATAAATGCTTTCTTTTAGAAATATATAAGCGAAAACGTCGTTGCCCCAGCGTGCGGAGCAAAGGCATTATTTTGCATTGTTTTTAAATTTCATTAAATAATGTATTTATAATTATAATATACCAATAAATAGCAACTATTAAAATTTCTTGTTGATTAGTTTTAGAATAAAGGAAAACAAAGACGGCATAAATTAATTGCTTAATTTAAAAAATATACATCGATAAATTTAAACCTAGCGCCTTTGCAACACTCTCCTCTACATAAGTTATTTTTACACAAACAGACTGTTCAAAAGTTTCCGTCCCGTAGATTTATTATTTACAAAGAAAAACTTTATTTTTCACCCAGTGTGCACGTACTTGAACTATTCTAGAACTGTTATTTATTTCCATCAATTGTTCTAGAACGTGCACACTAGGCACGTATAAAAGGAAAAATTTGGTGGTAATATAATGTTTTTTTTATTGAAATAGGTTTTGAAAATTAGTAAAATTTCGATTTATTTCGCTTCGGGTGTCAACTTCAATATTCCGATATGATAAAGAATTTTAAGTCTTACATAAATTTATTATAAACAATTTTTGTTGTCAATGCTATCTATATTACGATACTGTTAATGCTATATTTACAATATGTCTGAAAAGATTATTTTTGTTTATTATTATGTCAAATTAATGTTATAACGATTGCAAAGTATAAAAATGAATATTATGTCGCTTTGAATTATGCTAAATTAAAAATCGCTTACCATTCCAGGTACACAAAAACTACAGGCTTTCATTCCATATTCAGGGTGTCTACTATTTTCGTTTAACAAAATTCCCGGTTTTTCCCGGCTATATCCTAATTTTTTCCCGGTTTTTTTTTCTTATCAAATTTAAATTTAAATTTGATTTCAAACATAAATAAATCATTAAATTTTTTGAAAATAATGTTTTTTTCAATAATTTTAATTAAAAACTTGGAAAATACTTGAATTAAACAAAGAATTTTTTCAAGTTTTTAAAAATAATCTTGTCTCTTTATAATTATAATTGAAAATTGGATTTTTCTATTTTATTAAAATTACATTGATAATAATTGAACTTCTGCAAAGAATTTTACTATTTATAAAAATAATTGAATCCTTCCAAAGAATGCTATTATTTATGAAAATAATTTAATTTTTGTGAAGAATTTTATTAGAATTTTTGAAAATAATAAGCAGCAATAATTAATTATTTACTTAATATGTAATAAACATTTAATTTGCTCAAATAAATAAATATCATTTATTTGAACATTCAGAAATTTAAAATGATAAAAATTTAAGAGAAGTTCAATAATCATAATTATTAAATAATAATAGAATAGTATAATTTTTAGAAGCAAAAAATTGATTTAAAACTGTAAGAGGGACTTAAAATTTTAAAAATAAAATTATAATTATGGTCACTAACTTCCCTTGATCATTTTCGAAAAATTTAAATAAAATTCTTTAAAAAAATTCAATTATTTTTCAAAAAAAGTAAAAAAATTTCAATGATTTGTTTAGAAAAATTCAATTATCTTGAAACAATAGAATTGAAAAATTACAACAATTTTATTTTTTAGATTTAAAAAAAATTTTGCGAAAGTTCAATTTTATTAAACAATTTTAAGTATGTATATTTTTTTAAATTAACTAATAAAAATTTTAATTATTAATCTTCGCAGTAAGAAACATGAATACATTAGAATTTTACTCTTTATAATATTCAATTATTAATCAATTATTAAATAAAAATACTTTGAAAATTCTATTTGTTAAAAAGTTTCTAATGAATTTCTTTAACAAATTTAATTACATATTTTCAGTCGAATTTCATAATATTTCTATTAACTCCATAATTTTTTTTAAATTTATTTACATAATATATTTGAATTGGTAACTGATTTTTTATCATCAAATTAATTATTTTTAACTAACTTAAATTTAGAGAACAGTATAAATATCTATAAAAATTAAAATAAAAATTGATTTTTTAAAAACAAATTAAAATAATAAAACTTTTTTAATTTTTGTGAAAAAATTCCCGGTTCGGTATAAAATTCCCGGCTAATTCCCGGTTTTCCCGGAATTCCCGGTTATTTCCCGGTTAGTAGAATATGATATTCTACAACTGAGATTTCGGTAAAACTTTTTCCCAACTTAACTCAAGAAACACGACAGTTAAAAACCACAAGACTATAATTTCTTTATTGCCAAAAAGAAACGCCATACAACAACAAAAACCGAATTTCAGTTATTAAGTGTCAGTTTATTTTTACATAAAACTTTACGAACATTTAATTTTTTTCCCGTAAAGTTATTGTTGTCCCATAAAAAAACCAACAGGAAATATTCTTTACTTTATAGTCAATAACTGTGAAAAAAAATTTAAATCAAAGAATAAATCTTTTTTAAAATTTGAATTCAAAATTTTTTTTATTCTTTTATCCATTTCTTTCATTAAAATGCTTCTTATTATGAGTATTTAAAAAATATTATCTTCATTGGTTAACAAGGAAAACAGTCAGAAAATATTTTAATTTTGAATAAATTATTACCGTTCATAAATTTTGAATATCATTAACATCTTTGAAACTGCTTTTAATATCATTTAAAAATTTCAAACATGTTTATAAAAAAAAGTTATTGTAGCAAAATTTTTAAAAATACAAACATTTATAAAAATAACTACTATTACATTCACAAACCTAATTAACAAATTATTTTATACAGAAAAATACAAACGACATCGTTTCCGCTTCCAAAATTCGACAATGTTTTCGGTGTCATTTTAAACGAAGTTTACGATTAATTTTCGACGTAAATTCATACACAGATTTTTCCAGTAGGGTAAAATTTACAATAGAGCAAAAATTCCAAAAAATTGATAATTTTATAATAAAACTCAATAGAGAAAATTTCACAAAACAGCAAGAATAAAAAAATTTAAATATGTACTTTTAAATATTAAAATAATTAAAATTCTACGATGAGTTTTATTATTTATGAAAATACTTGAATTACTGCGATAAAAAATTTATAAATAATTAAAATTTTTATTATTTATAAAAATAATTAAATGTTTGCCTTAATTCTGGTTTAATTTTATTGAATATTTTTTAGAATAATTGAATTCATTTGAAAAATTTTATTAGAATAGTAGATAAGGAAAATCATTGAATTGAGGAAAATTTTCTAAAATAATTGAAATTTTGCCAAAAATTTTATTAAAATTTTTGAAAATAATTGAATTTCTGCGAAGAATTTTATTATTTATGAAGATAATTGAAATGTTGACGAGAATTTAAAATTTTTTTGAACATAATTGAATTTCTTCGAAGAATTTTATTAGTTTTTAAAATAATTTATTGAATTTCTCCAATGATTTGTAACTTCTCCAAAATTCAATTTTTAGTGATTATAACTAAAATTCTTTGATAAATTCATTATATTTTTAATAGATAATTAATTAAATATGTATATATATATTAAAAAATTTAACTAATTTCAGAAAAATTTGAAATATTAAAACTTTTCAAAAATCTAATTTCTCTAAAATTTCTAATCTGCTATTGATTGATCGGAATCATAAGAAAGCATATAAAAAATTAGAGATTAAAAATAATCAAAATTACGAAAAAAGTTGAAATTTTTATTCTTCGAAAATTGCAAGATTTATTTTTTAAAAATGTTAATTAATTAAATGTTTATTGATTTTTCAAAGTATATTTTAATTTTAAATACTTAAAATTGTCAGAAAAAAATTGACCACCATAGATGGGTTGAAATTTCACTGGTCTCTCCCCTTAAAATAACTTGGGAACTAATTAATTTTTTAACAAAATAAGATAATAATTAATTTTAAAGAAATAAATAAATTGTGAACTATTTTGGTAAAATAGTCAATTTAATTCTTAAATTAAATTTGATTTTAAATAATAATCTATTTATTTATTTAAAATTATTACTACGATCAAAGAATGATTCATTTTCACTATTTTCCAGTTAATCGCTAAATTAATGATATTAGCAAAATTAAATTCTAAGTTTAATAAACAATTATACACACATAATTATGTTACTTATTGTATTAAAAAAGTTAGACTTTGTCAAATTAATTACATCACCGCAGTAATTATCACAAAAACAGAAAATTTCGTTTTTATGAATCTTCACGTAGATGGATAATTATAAAAAATTATTTACACATATTTTATAAAAATATCAAAATTCACTTTACCGAATTGAAAAAGAATCAAAAACAATTTAAAAAATTATTTTCAGCAATGAAAAATGGGAAATGCAATAAGTATTTGTTTATTATTAAAAAAAGTGATTTTTAATAACAAAAAAATGTATGAATGTTATTTGTTTATTTTTGTGTTGACAGTTTGGATCAAAATTTAAATCTGTCAACATAACCCACATAACCTAAAGAAATTGTAATTATACATTAAAAATATAAGTAAAATAAAAATTACCATTCCGATAATAGTCCCGATAATCTTGACATCCATTTTGATAAATCATAGGTCCATTATTAACTCTAATCATTTTTAGTTAATTTATAAAAATAAATTATAAAATTATCTCTCAATAGAGCAGAGAATTACACAGAAAAAAACTTAATTATTTAGAAAGTAAATATTAAAAAATATTGACACTGGCGGCAAATCGCGACTGTGTCCACAAGGCAACACTTGACAATGAATTACAACTGGTACTCACCAAATACTAATCAATTCATCACTCTGCAACTCTTCCTCGAAGTGAATCACTTTCAACCTTGATAAGCACGGCAGGTTCTTCCCCGAGTGAAACTTTGCAAGTGTATAATATTCGCGCTTATTCACATACAGCAACTACTACGATAACAAAATTATCAAACACACGAGAGTCAGTTCGGAATTTCCTACTGTTTAATTTATGTTGAGATTTTTCCGATTTTTCTTAAAAAAAGTATGAGTATGTATTACGAAACAGCAGTATTTAAGAACGCCTTCCTTTGTTTGATTCTTTACTTATTATTTCACTACGTCTCGAGTGAAAGTTACTGCTTATGGAAAATGACAAAAGTATAAATTAAAGACGCTTAGAACGAAAATATGTATAAGAAAAATGAATTTTTTGTTTTTGTTAAATATTTGCGTGCAGAGTATGACACATAATAATAATAATGATAGAATATTGTTTACTCTTGTGCACGTCGTGTCGCCGGTACCACATATATGTATGTTTCGAGTTGAGTCCACTTTGGTGCGCGCGCACCGCTGTGTATAAAGTGATCACGTTGGAATGGGGAAAGGGAAATCCAATATGGAAGATATCTGGAGGTGGAGGCCAAGCAATATAAAGTTAAAGGTGCTTGCACAGTTCTACTGCCTGTCTTAAAGAAGGATGAACAATATATCTATCCTTCTCTAACTCATTCATTTGTTTACGATTGGCGTATCTTAAAGGTACCGTCCCATGATGGCGTGAAAGCGTCGGCGTAAAGCGTAAACCATGTGAGAGAGTGAGAACGTGATATCTGTTCATCTCTTTCTATCGCACGATTTCTGCTTTACGCCGACGCTTTTAAGGCGAGAACAGAATGCCTATGAAAATGTGTACGTTAACGTGAACGTGGTCACGTGACCCATTTGAATAACATTGTGACGTCAGCACGTTACACGTTCACGTAGGCTATTCTGTTCTCGCCTTTACGCCGTCATGGGACGGTACCTTAAAGACGGAGATTTAAAATTTCTCAGTAATTTATAATCTTTATAATTTTACTAATTAAACCATAAGTTGCTAATTTTTAAATTAATACAATTTTCATCGTTTTATTGATTATTAATAATAAAATGGAATGTTTAATGATTCAAATCTTTCTATATTCATAAATCGACAATTAAGATCAAACCGAATGAAAATTAATAAAAATAAATAGACGTAAAAGTATGTTTTATAACGAAATAAACAAGATTCAAAATGTGACAAAATTTTTATTTTTTAGTTTCACTTGCTCAAATTGCATTTCTTGCTACAATGTAAACACTTTTTAACCAATTTTTTACTATTTTTTATACTATTACTATTTTTTATTTTTCCTTTCTAAAAAAAACAGCATAAAAAGGTCGAATTGAAAAAAATCGAACTCGAAAAGTATCGAAATAAGCATAAAGAATAAAAAAGAACATAGAAAGCACACCTCACACTCTAAATGGAAACGAAATAGATGGAGCTGTCTTGGGTTTATCTCAAGAAAAAATTATAAACCTGTGTTTCAATCGTTTCAATGAATTGGGTGCATTTTAATTTACAACATATAAAAATATAAATAAACAATTAATTTTTTAATAAGAAAAAATTAATATAATGTAACAAAAATATAAATAAATTGATTTATAATTATGTACTACTATTTCATTTTTCGTAATAGAAAAAAAATTTTTCTAATGGAAAAAAGAAGGGAAAGAAGAATATCAAATAATTAAAAAACAAGAAATAGAAAAATAATAATTAAAAATATAAAATAGAATCAAAAATAAAGCAGCAACGAAGTCGACCGCGAAGTCGACGAGGCGCTAGTATTTGTAGTAAAAATATAAGGCTTTTATTTAAATATTAACAATAAATAACATATTTTTGAGGTTATGGTAGAGAAAATAAATATGTTTAAAAAGGTTTACTATCTTGATAATGTAATTTACATAGTTTTATAAGCATAATACGTCGAAAGTGTTTGAAAAAAACCCATCCGTGGTTGCGGCCTTATGTATGACGTTACATCTGGAATCGACTCTTTTCTGACGTCACAATTGAGTGAAACAGCCTAATTGTGCTCAGAGCCTAATACATGCGGAAGTCGGGAATGCAAAAAAAGTGGTTAGTTCTATGATCACATGTGTTTTGTTAATTAACAAACAAAACGTTATTAAAAGTTACAAAATATTATTATCTTATTAATAAAAGTAATTGTTTGTAAGTGTTTTTCTTAAAATGTAATTTATAATACATGTATAGAATGACGTAAAGTATATACCCCCACAGCACCGAAACTTTCCTAAAAATTTATTAAATATTTACTTTCAATATTCGGAATATTTAATTGCAATGTTTATTGAAAGTTGTGTACAGATTTAAATGTCCCGATTAAATAAATGTTTAGCGCGAAGCTTTCCTGAACATTTCAATAAAATCTTCGCATAATTATAATTATAATTATGCGAAGATTTAATTTCATGTTCAGAAAATGTTCAGGAAAGCTTCGCGCTAAACATTTATTTAATCGGGACACTTAAATCTTTACACAACTTTCAATAAACATTGCAATTAAATATTCCAAATATTGCAAGTAAATATTAAATAAATTTTTAGGAAAGTTTCGGTGCTGTGGGGGTAACCTTAATTTTTCTATCTCATACACATATAGTTCTTTTTGCACAAATTATTTTTATTATTAATTGAGAAAGTAAGTAAAAAATTGTTGTGATATGTTTAATAACAGTGTTGTCAACAAAATAAGCTAAAGTAAATTTTTTTTTATTTTTTATAATTATTTTTGGTAGAAACTTGTCGATAAACTGAAATTACAATTCATTAATTTTTGGGAAAAATCTTGATTTTTTTATATACATATATTTTTATATATTTTTTATATTATATAGATTAATATCTATATGGTGTCACACGTTGAATTCTGTCAATTTTGGTAATTATTAATTTAAGTGTTTAACTTCATTGTTTTTATTAAAAAAAAAAAAAAGAAAGAAAAGGGTTCGTTTTGTCGGACCGTTGCAAAAGTTGTAAATTTCTGCTTGTATTAGTGTTAGAATAACTATTTTTGATTCTGTATTGAAAAGAAATGAATACGTATTTTTTTATTTTGAGATTTGATGAAAATTACAGAAGTTATGAATTCTTGAAATTTAATGTTTTCAAAAACAGTGTATTTGTTGGAAATTTCATGAATTTTTTAAAATAAGCAATCAAAAGTGATGAATTTGTACTGTAAATGCCTAAAAAGTTATTGAAATTAAACTTAAAAAGTTCTTCTTCTCAAAGATGGACACTTTAGACTTTCAATTTTTTTCTTTCAACTTAATCTTTAAAAAATGACAAATTTTTTTTTCTTACGCGAATGTGGTGTTTTTTATTTAATTATTATTTTCAATATTTTTTAATCTCAGTGCACACATTTCTGAGGTAGATTCTATATGAATATGAAACATAGTTTCATTCGGTTTCTGTTGAATGTCATTTGTTTATTTTTTGTGGTGAAGTGTCAAAATTATTTTGCAAATTGTATAATTTATAATTATTTATTTTTAATTCAAACTGATTGCAACAGTGTTCAAGAAAACACTTTATCGAGACTGAAAAATTATAAATTACACTTGAATTATACTTGAAAATTTGTTTCCATTTTTGTTGGAATGAAATTCTCGACATTTTTGTTAAGATTATTCATAATAGAGACATAATGTGAAATATTTCTATTTGGAAAAGAAGTGCATTATGAAGTTAACTAAAAAAGTTGTGCAAGAAAATTCTACTTCAATATTCTGTGCAAGACAATTTTATCTCAAAGTTGTGTGCAAAATAATTCTATCAAAAGTTTCAATACAAGATAATTATAACATTTTGGATTAATGTAAAAAATAATCTTTGAATCTTAAAGTATTTGTTTAGCTTTAGTTCTTAGCGGTTATGACTAATATGACAGAATTTTCTTTTAATATAAACATTTTAAGCGCATTTTTGTCTTATTATTTTTAGTAATTGATTATTAAATTCATTTTACAAAATTTAAATATTGCACTTATTGCATTTAAATATTCCAAACATTGCAAGTAAATATTTAATACATATTTTTTTCGGTGCTATGGTGAAATATTTGCTTTTGATTATTTCATTTACAAAAATTCCTTAAAACAATAAATTCAAGGTAGCAATTGTAAAAGTTAAAACCACACGAGGAAAAAAGATTATTATATTGCTTTGGCAATCAAATTGTTAATAGAACTAACAAATTTATTTTGTTGCCCTACAAATTCAGAATTATAATAATCAATATTTAAGCAACAGATATTTAGTGATAAAGTCTAACAAAATTTCTTTTTGCGCTCTTCACTTGTCTATTTCGTTTGTCAGTCCAATCCTGGCATCCTCAATAAAATGCTTTTTTATAAGTAATAGCTTGACCTCATCTACTAAAATAGCACTACTTATTCCTTCAAACCTTGTTTCAACTTCATTTTCATTTATTTTTTACCCAATATAGATCTTTTTGTAACTTCTTCTATACTTCTTAGAGTAAAATGTTTTTAAAAATATGGTTTATAAGGTATTGATTGTTAATTGTTATAATTATAAAAATAATTTTCTTCTAGTTGAGGGTTTATAATTTTTAATCAATATATTTCAACAATTAAACTTTCATTTTAAGCAGTAAATATTAAAAATGTGAAATAAATTTAAATTGTCTGCCTGCCTGTCTTCGATATTTTGTACAGGCAACACTTAAAAACGACTTGATTAATCAAAGTTAAATTTGGCAGTCTGTTAGGAATCATCGTAACTTGAAACCTTAGCCCTTAAAACCTTGGTTTTTGGTTTTAAAATAAAAACTGATATTTTAAAAAAACGGGTTTTGATTGAATACAGGCATTTAAAAAAACGGTTTTTCAAATACCATTTTATTTAAAAAGAAAACTGGTTCTAGAAAATTTGATGTATTACAAAAATCAGGTTGTTTTCCGAAAAAAAAAAAATTTTATGCCTCATGCACAAAAATGGCACTTTTAGATAGCTGACATTAAATTTTTATGTTCAAATTTTAAAATGTAATATGCATAAATCTAGGATTAGGGTTAAAATAGTTATTAAAACACTTTTCAGAAAAATTAATTTTGTATTTTCTCTTGATTTTGGGACATGTTTTTACAAATCGTTTAGATTTGGTATTGCGTTCAAATAATCAGTATTTCCCGAAAACCCGATTTAAAAAAGAAATTTTTTTAATTCATTCATTCAATTAAATTCAAATTTTTTAAATTCATTTACTATGTTTCAGAATAATTCTAATATCTTAAACTTTTATGTCCCATAAAGACATTTTGATGTGCCAATTAAAGTGATGTGTCTTGTTAAAGAAATATGATAAATATACCGATTACGATCATAAAGCGAGGGACAACTTTTAAAAGCTTATAAATTTTTTCACAATTAAGAAAATATTAATTTTTGTACAGAAAAGTGTTCAATATGACTTCATCATCATTTATCACAGTGACTGCTCTAGCAGAACATTCTTTTCCTCGCAAACGATTCCAGTCCCAGTATGTTTTACTATTTCGGTCTCTTGATTTTAAAAAAACATACCCATTAACTATTAATTTTTTATCAACAATTTTCGCCGAATATTTCATATTTGACACACAAGAATTTAGAATATAATTCACACAATTTGAAATAGAAGTTACTTTTACACAAGAATTTTGACACATTCGAATTTTTAAAAACAATTTTTTAAGTTTTTCCATAGTTAAAATAAAAATCATGCATTTTTCCTTTTGAGTGGAGAAAGGGTGTGATAGTTCCTGTTCATAAGTCTGACGATAAAAATAATACCCAAAATTATAGACCTATAACAATATTAAGTTCATTTGCTAAAATCTTTGAAAGTATTATTTTTGATAACTTTTATGCATCGGTCTCAGGAATTATAATTGATGAACAGCATGGATTTGTAAGGGGAAGATCCACATTAACTAATCTTGGTATTTTACTACTTTTTTAACTAATAATATTGAAAAGGGTCTTCAAATAGACACTATTTATGCTGATGTGTCGAAGGCATTTAATAGGGTAGACCATAATATACTATTAAGCAAATTAAATTCACTAGGCATTTCTGACAACATGGTTTCATTTTTTAAAAGTTATCTGTCTGACAGATATCAAGTTGTAAAAATTCACTTTCAGCAGAAAAAGACACTTCAGATCTGCAAAAGGATCTGAAGAGGTTACAAAAATGGTGTGGTAAAAATCATCTAAGTATTAATATTAAGAAAAGTTATGTTGTTTCATTTTCTAAAGGTAAAGTTAGCTCATATGACTATACTTTAGAGAGTCAGAACTTGGAGAGAGTAACTAGGATGCGTGATTTGGGTGTATTGTTCACTAGTAATCTTAGTTTCAATGATCACGTCACTGAAATTGTTTCAAGAACCTCAAAATCCTTAGGGTTTATAATGAGATGTGCTTCGGTATTTCGTGGTCTTGCAACAATTAGAATATTATACTTGACGCTTGTCAGATCAATAATTGAATACGCATGTATAATCTGGTCTCCTTTTTATGTCTTCCACATAATCAGAATTGAACGTGTTCAAAATAAATTCTTTAGATTTGCTGCGAGAATACTTAATATTCCATTTGATTATCGTACGCATGATTATGAAAATTTAAGAACTTTAATGAATATTCCTCTTTTGACATCTAGATTTCATTTTTCTGATATGTCTTTTTTGTACAGACTGATGAACGGAGCTATCTATTGTCCCTCACTCTTATCCATGGTAAATTTATCCGTTCCTAGAATGTTTACTAGACGTTATACGTTATTCTCAGTGGCGTTTCATAGAACGAACTATGGTAATAATTCATTAATTGATCGACTCACTAGAGAAGCTAATTTAATTTCTAATGAAATAAACTTCTTTGATAATAATGTTACAAGGTTCACAACGGCATTGCGTAACATAATGTTTAATAGAAACTGAGATTATTTAATTTGCACATAAAAAGTTTCAACCTAGATTTAAGTTAAAAATTCATTGTTATATTAGATTTAGGAGTACTTTTGTACGAAAGGGCATGTCCCGTTATGTTTCTTAAATAAATAAATAAATAAATAAATAAAACGAATTGTTTTTTGTCGGGAAAAATACTTGTCGTGAAACTCGATTCGGGAAAAAAGGTGTCAGGAAATTGATTTCGTGAAAAGTATGTGTCGGGAAAAAGAATTTCGTGAAATTGAGTGCGGGAAAACGTTGGCGAACCAAAGTATGGCTAGGGAAAAGTAGATATTGTAAGAAGTTGGGTATTCAAATTGAATTTTCAAATTGGATCAATTATTTTTATCTATTTAATAAATTAGTGTAAAATCTTTTGGAACTGTTTCATCGTATCAAGCATTAATATTTCCAACAAAATCAAGTAAAAAGCTATTGAAATTATCAAAAATATGCGAGGTACATGAAAGTTAAAGGTTCCGGTAATAATTAATTCATCGAATATGTGGAGCGGATTTTTTAATTCTATAACTGTGACAAAATACTCTCCTATCACAATTAAACTACAAAGAGATAAATTATTAACTTGAAAATTCTAAAAGCTAAGGACAGTTTTACTCCCGTTACTTTCATGACGAATTGTAAATAACGAAATTGAAGCAATTTTCTACTTTATATTTTTACATTAATAGGAAATATTGTCATGATTTGAATGGAACGTTAAATTATGTAGTGAATATAAATTTTTCCGGATTTTAACATTCAACCAGTTATTACATCAGATTGTTCAAATATTCTGTTTTTTGTTAGAAAAGGTTATTTTTTCAAATAAATAGAAATATTTGGATTTTATACACATTTTTTGAAATGAAACACTTCACCTTTCAAATGATATTCAAATGATATTTTATAAAAATATTACAATCCTATAAAATTGTTATTTTAAAATACAATTCTCTTTATTTCTCTTTTACCAATAATAACAAATCTAGTATCATTAATGAATTGAAAACAATTAAAAAATGAATAATGAAACTAAATGTTTAGAACAGAAATTTAAAAATGGCGTTGGTAGCGATCTCTAGAGCCAGTAGTCGAGTGTCAATAGATTCGACCTTCAACCATTTGAATCATTTGGGAGCCATCGCCCGACAGAGACAGCCGTGCTTTGCAGTATTTGCACAAAGTTTTGTCGCAGAAGCAAAAAAAATGAGCCTGCCACGCGTTTTCTTTGATATGACCGCAGACGGCAAGACAGTGGGTCGCATCGTAATGGAGGTAAATTTATTTTCATCAACACTTTTAATATTAAAAGTAATAAATAATTTCATTACAGTTATTAAAATTGAATACATTAATCTTATTCAGCGGCTTTAATATTTAACACAATTTTTTAGTAAACATTGGAAAATTTCATTTAATTTTTTTACAATTCATTGAAAGGATGATTACTAGCTTTTAAATATAATTTTAAGAGTTGTATTTAATTTATAAAAAATTAATAATTTACATATCTTGTTTTTAAATGAAATTTTTCTATTCACATTCTGCTTATTAGAACACACTAGGTTTGACAGTTTTCATGCAGTATCTCTAGCACATACATAGTACTCTTCATGTAAATTATTTAATTGTGTCATTGAAACACCTTGTAACCTCGAAAGGGATTTATTTTATCTGAACGTCCTTTTAAAACGTTCAAATAACGTTGATCATTTCAAGTTATGAATTGTAATTATTTAAAAATATACTAACTATTATAATATAAATTTTTCTTTTTAAATAACTTAATTTTTCAAAAACTATCATAAAATTATGACTTATAAATTATTTTATGAATAATTTTTACTATTTTTATAAATACTAGATTGATAGAAAAATTTTAGTTAGAAATACTAAAAAAAATTGGATTTTGGAAAAGTTACAAATGATTACAGAAATTCAATTATTTTCAAAAGTTACAAAAATTCCTCGTAGAATTTCAATTATGTTCAAAAATTTTTAAAAAAATCTCGTCAAAATTACAATTATCTTTATAAATAATAAATTCTTCATCAAAATTCAATTATTTAATTCTTAATAAATTTCTTCGAAATAATTCAATTATTTTCATAAGTAATAAAATTTTCACAGGAATTCAATTACTTTTATAAACTTGAAAAAAATTCGTTGTAATTAATATAATTCTTTGCAGAAATTCAATTATATTCAAAAATTTTTAAAAAAATATTGTCAAAATTTCAATTATTTTTATAAATAATAAAATTCTTCATCGAAATTCAATTATATTTAAAAATTTTAATAAAATTCTTGGCAAAATTTCGTAGGAATTCAATTATTCAATTTTTAATAAATTAATTCAAAATAATTCCATTATTTTCATAAGTAATAAAATTTCCACAGGAATTCAATTATTTAAAATACAAAATTTCATGAAATTTTTCGAAAAATATCAATTATTCAAAAAGATTTTTATAAAATTCATCGCAAGAATTTAATTATTTAAAAAAAATTATCATAGGTAGTTCTTTTCAAGAATTCAATTACCTATTTAATCAAATTCTTCACCGAAATTCAATTATTTTTATAAACTTGAATAAAATTCGTTGGAAGAATTAAATTATTTTCAAAATGTAATAAAATTCTTCGCAAAAATCCAATTATGTTCAAAAATTTAAAAACAAATTCTTGTTAAAATTCCAAGTATCTTTATAAATAATAAAATTCTTCTCCGAAATTCAATTATTTTAGAAAAATTTTAATAAAATTCTTAGGAAAATTTTAATTATTTTGATAAATAATAAAACTTATCGCAGGATCTTAATTATTTTTTATACAATATTTAAATCAAATTCCTCGATAAATGTAATTATTCTTAAAAATTTTATTAAAATTTGTCAAATGAATTCAGTTATTTAAAAAATTATTGATAAAATTCTTTATGAAAATTCAATTTTAACAAACATTCAATTATTCAATAAATTATTTATTTTTTAATTCAAATAATTGAATTTTTCTAGAATTTCCTAATAAAAATTGATTTAAAAATGAATTAACGAATAATCGATTTATTATTATTTATGAAAATAATTGAATTGTTGCAACGAATTTTATTACATTTGTTTAAAATAATTGAATTTTTTTGAGAAATTGTACTGCTTGTAAAAATAATTGAATTCTTGCGAAGGATTTTTTTAAGGATTTTTCTAAATAATTAACTTATTTTGAAAATTTTTATGGTAATTTAAATTAGTACAAAACACTCTGAGTCTTCGACTCGGAGTGATCGCCTTCTTCATGTTTTGTAATAATATTCTTATAAAAGTTGTGGAATTTCAAAAAGGTTTGAATTTGAATGTTTTGAAGAATTTTAATTCCTACAGAAAAATAATAATGATTAAATATTTATTTAAAAAAGAAGTTTTATTGATGTTTTTGAATAATTTTACAATTAAATTAAATTACAATTAAAGAAATTTGTAAATAAATGTAATAGAACATTTTTTTTGAGTATCTAATAATTTTTAGAGTGAATCAGAATATTCTTTGACTCAGGGAAAAAGTGAAAATTTTGTCTGGAAATCAGGGAAAAGTCTGGAAAGAATTTTAAAAACTTTTTGAAGTAAATTTAGTTACGTATTGTAGCTGTAGGTGACGTCTTTCAAAAGTTACCTTTTTCGGGGAGTAACTTTCCGAACGACCAGTAACTCATAAATGAAAAATCCAAACTGGATTCTGTTCATAAGTGTTTGTTCTAGATAACAAACCTAAAAACGATTTTTTAAATATATTTTTTAATTTTTATACACATTTAAATTAAATTTTCGATGTGCTATACTAAGGTTGATTCGTCACAAAGGCGAGCAAGATACGATTATCACACCGATATTCCTAAAACTCTCATCAGATTTCTCTGTCTAGTCTTCACAATCGCTCATGTTTACACGAACAAAGACCTTACAAATACTTATACTAAGTTAAATGTATTTTTAAAATTTTTTGCAGTTGCGAACCGACGTAGTCCCTAAAACTTCAGAAAATTTCCGAGCCTTGTGCTCTGGAGAACACGGCTTCAGTTACAAAGGTAGCAGCTTCCATAGAGTTATACCAAACTTTATGTGTCAGGGTGGGGATTTTACAAATCATAATGGCACAGGAGGAAAATCCATTTACGGTGCGAAATTTGAAGATGAGAACTTCCAATTGAAGCATGTAGGACCAGGAGTTCTATCAATGGCAAATGCGGGTCCAAACACTAATGGTAGTCAATTCTTTATTACGAGTGCGAAAACATCATGGCTGGACGGTAAACACGTTGTTTTTGGAAAAGTAGTTGAAGGCTTGGATGTTGTTAGAAAGGTACGTCCATTTTCTTAATACATTAATCACAAAAACTCATATATCACATCTAACTGATATTTATGGGTCAAAATAAAAAATCGGTAATATGTGTTTTTTTTAAATCTTTGAAATGTTTGTTTGTGATATAAGAGCCATATTTGAATTTTTTGATTCGCTCGTTTAATAATTCTAATGTGAAGTACTTTTTAACGAAAATAAAAGAATATTTGATTGATTGCATGACATAAACGCAAACACCTTCAAAGATATCATGCATTAAGTCAATCGAGATGTTTTCCGCGACATGAAAATCTTCAACTTCGTGAAATGCACATTTCTCTATTAAACCAGAAACTAAATTTTTTTAATTTACATCTTGTTCGTAAAAGAGATTTATCCTCTGAAGTTAGTGTTAAAGAAGAGTCTAATAAAATTTTACATATTCTACCGAAACCATTCGGTAAATTTAAGAATATAATTGAGGCCCAATTTACCGTCCAAAATTTAAAAAAGTCAAATTTAATTCGTGGTGCAATACCGTCAACTGATACAATTATTCCTTTTCTTTGAAGAAAATTTATTTCTTCGATTAATTTGACGAAAATTTCTAGTTCGTCATAAAATATGAAAATTGATGAAATGATATCATTACAGCTGTGCAAATTCAAAAATTTCGCTCTCTTTAAGAATTAACATGGACTCGGTTCGGTTTGAATTTCGAGTCCATGTAAAATTCGAGTTTCTGCACACCTCTAGATATAATCCATAAATTTTCATCAATATTTTCTCATCCACAAATCACCAAAAACTTACTAAGAATTACAAACCAAACATTTTTCTTCCATAGAGATTTTTATATGGCAATGAGATAAAAAAAATTTTTTAATTTTAAGTTAAAATTTTCTTAAAAATCTTTAACAGGCAAAATTCTAGAAATTTTTTTAAATTAAAAAAAAATTATTTACTGTTTCTAAACTATAGCAAAAACAATACCAATTAAGGGGTCTTGTAACTTTTTTAGGCATTAAAATCGGAAGTTTTTTAAAAAATTTTTGCTCATAAGTTTTAAAATATAATTGATCAAAAGTTTTTACATATCATTGTGTATGTTAGGAAGTCTTAAAAAAAGAATTTCATATTTGAAAAAACATAAGTATCTTCTTTCTACAGAGGGCGCTTTGGTCACTGGTAAAAATTATTGGTTGTCATTGTAGCTCATAGCAGAATCGTCTAAAATCAAAAAATCAAATTTTATTTCAAAATGGACGACTTAATACAGGACCTAAACCTCTTATCTTATCGTAAATATCTATCTATATTTTGAAATTATGTTTGATTTTTTTATTTTCAATGATTCTGCTATGAGCTACATAGACATCCGTAATTGAAAGTAATTTTTACCAGTAGACAAAGCGCCCTCTGTAGAAGGAAGGTATATATTTTTTCCAATCTGAAATCCTTTTTTTAAAACTTCTTAACATACACAATGACATGTAAAAACTTTCGATCAATTATATTTTAAAACTTATGAGCAAAAAATTTTTTAAAATCATCCGATTTTAGTGCTAAAAAAGTTACAAGACCCCTTAATATCTGGGTCATCGAAATGAATTTAATTCACAATTAATAAAAAGTAACCACAGCCGATAATCAGCAGAAGATGAAAAATTATTTTTTGAGCGAACTTTATCTTCTGTTTACTAACAATTGTTAGTAAAAAAATTGTTTACTAGCATGAAACTATTGCTAGAACAATTCCAATTAATATCTAGGTCAGCAAAATTAATTTAATTCGCAATTCATAAAAAGTAACCACAGTTGATAATCCTAAACAATGGCTAGAACAAAATTTTCTCAAAAATCTTTAAAAACAGGCAAAATTCCAGAAAATTTTTTAAATTCCATACTATTTTCCAGGTTTTCCATACCTTTTTCTAAATTTCATACTTTTCTAGGATTTCCAAGCTCTGTGGCAACCATGTATTTTGATTCATTCTTCTAAGCACAAATTAGGCTACTTATAAGACAATCTATTTTTCTAATTTTATTTCTCCAAGATAACGAAGGCTTTAAAACTTTATGTGCTAGATGAACGCAGTGCTCTCTGCCTAATTTGGAGTACAGATAGGGAGATGAAGCAATTTTTTGTAAAATGATAATTGTACTTTTTCAATTCTATCCAAGAATCTCAGGCTCCGAATCTGATTTGGATAAAGCAAACCACTAATATAAACATTTCCTTATTCGCTGTAAACATTACAAATAGCCTTGCCATTTTTACATTTAGCAATACATTTCAATATTTTACTCTTTGAGAAAGCGTCATCCAAGATAGAAACAAAACCATCCAAAGATTGAGGGCCAGTTTCACCAACTCCGATTAAAAGTTAATCAACGATTAAAGTCAGTTTAACCGCCCGTGATTGGTTGGTTAAGGATTTAATCATTGATTAAATTTTAATCGGAGTTGGTGAAACTGGCCCTTAGTATCTAAAACAAATTCCAGGCATCACAGTTGGTCCTCTTTTCCCCTTTTGTCCCCTTATTTCAATTTTATCCCCTTTTTCACCTTTTTTCACGATTTGTCACCTTTTTCCCCTTTTTTGCTGATTTGTCCCCTTTTTCACCTTTTCCTAATCAAAAATGAACAAGTTTTTCTTTTTTTCAAATCTTTTTCAAAGTGTAATCATAAAATTTAGACTCAAAGTTATAGAATTCAATGCGTTTTATATCTGATTTAGATTATCAACACCACAACATAATATAAATATGTTTTTTTATGTTAATCATTTAAATAATATAGATATCGTATATAGAATTTTATAAATTATAAGGTGGTTCATTCAACAGAATGCAGACCTTTAGAAAAATAATTAATTAACAATCAAATAATTCAAATATTATTATTAATAGTTTTTTCTAGAAAAAATAAAAATTCTAATATAAAACCTTTAATTTTTTCCATTTCTGACAATAATTTCTTTTTAAATAACTTAATTCTTGAAGAACTATAAATGCTGCTCTGTAAAAATTGTTCTCATGGTTTCCTTGAACAAATAAAGAAATTCTAATTCTAATTCTAACTATCATAAAATTATAACTTAGAAATTATTTAATGAATAATTTTATTTAAATACATTTCAAAATTAATTGAACTTTAAAACAGTTTCGTTTACAATTTTCATAAATAGATGAACTTGAAAAGATTTTAACTTCAAATTTTATAAAATTTTAATTTTGAATGAATTTCATTAGAAATTCTAAACAACTTACATTTTTGCAAAAATTTTCAAAATTTAAATAATTCTAAAATTAGTTAAATTTTTTAATATTTATATATTTGATTAATTATTAAAAATAATAAATTTATCGAGGAATTTTAGTTAGAAACACTAAAAAAAATTTTAATTTTGGAGAAGTTTCAAATAATTGCAAAAATTCAATTATCTTTATGAATAATAAAATTCTTCGCAGAAATTCAATTATTTTCGAAAATTTTAATAAAATTCTTTGCAAAATTTCAATTATTTGCAAAAATTTTCCTAAATTCAGTTATATAGGTACAATATCTACTATTTTAATAAAATTTTCCACAAGAATTCAATTATTTAAGAAAAATTTTAATAAAATTCTACGCAAACGTTTAATTATTTTCATAAATAAAAAAGAATTTACAAGAATTCTATTATTTACAAATTTTTTATAAATTTCTTCGCAATAATTCCATTATTTTCATAAATAATCAAACTCATCGCAGAATTTCAATTATTTTTAGTATAATTTTAATCAAATGCCACGTAAAATGTAATTATTTTAAAAAATTTTATTAAAATTCGTCGAAAGAATTTAATTATTTAAAAATTTATTGATAACATTTTTTATGAGAATTCAATATTAAGAAACATTTAATTATTCAATATAAATTCTTTATTTTTTTATTTAAATAATTGAATTCTAGTAGAATTTTCTGATAAAAATTAATTTAAAAATGGATTTCAGTTAAAATTTTCGATTATAATTGAATATTAAAAGCATTAAAGCGTGAATTTTCAGAAATAATTGAATTTTGAAAAAGTTTCAAATTGAAATCTTTGATAATCTGAATTTTTTATATTTTTAACTAACAATTCTGTAGAATTAGGTAATATTTTCAAAAAGTTTAATTGAAATTTTTTGAAGTTTTTATTTTCAAATATATATTTAATTGAAGAATTTTTGAATAATCGATGAAATTTCGTAAAATTGAATTGTAAACAAATACATTTGAAAATTCTCAGAATTTTAAAAAAAATTATTGTAAAAAATTGATTTAAAGAAAAATTTAGAAAATATTAATTGATTCGAAATGATGAAAATAATTTTGAAGAAGTTACAGTAAAAATATTTTTTATAGTAAAAAATAATTATCTTATCATTCGGTTATCTTTAATGATTATAAATTGTTGAATTTCAAAAAGATTTGAATTTGAATGTTTTGAAAATCATAATTCCTATGAAAAAATAATAATGATTAAATATTTTTTTTTAAAAAACAGTTATTGTTGTTTTCGAATAATTTTACAGTTAAAGAAATTCGTAAATAAATGTAATAGAACATTTTTTTGAGTATCTAATCATTTTTAGACTGAATCGTAGAATATTCTTTAGGGAAAAAGTCAAAATTTTGTCTTGAAATCAAAGAAAAGTCAAGAAAATTATATATGCAAGTTGTATAAACAAATAAATTTTTATCTCCTTTTGGTCCCCTTTCTGAGGAAAAAAATTCCCCTTTTCACCTTTTTTGAGGAAAAAAGGTACTGCGATGCCTGAAATTCATTTAGTTTTAACGGGAAACTCTGTATACAAAGACATGTTAAATATTCTTACAGGAATGTTCAATTGAGTGTTGTCACATGTTCACAAATTTTATTATGTTTAACCCTTGGAGAACACACTGGGTCAATGCGACCTACGAAAAAGATTTGACCTAGAAATTATTAGGTACATTTAATCGGGTTTGGGAAAATTTGAACCAGGTCTGAGCTTAAATTTAAACAAAGGGTTTTTAAAGATACAGTATAGTATTATCTGTTAAAACAATAAATTTCGTGTAAATTATTATTTCTATTAATTGTAAAATATATTTCGGAGAAGTTTGAAATTTTGTAATTATACTCCATTAAAAAATGTAATGGGGCAGATTGACCCAAAGTGTACTCCGTGATCGAAGAAAAAGATGTGTTCTCAAAGGGTTAATAACACATAATATTGTAAACTTTAATTTTCTGTTCCAGTTGGAAGCTTTGGGATCGCAAAGTGGCAAAACCGCAAAGAAAATTCTAATAAACAATTGTGGAGAAGTGTCGTAATTTGGTCTCAATAAGTCTAATTTACTTTAAATATTGCATTTTTCTTTAGCTAATAAATACACTTATTTTTATCAAGATTTAATGAAAAGCCAGTCTTCGTTGCCCTTCATTCAAGAAATGTACATTATTTACAAACCAAAGATATGTTTTCTGTATTGTGTATTTCTATTAGTTGCAATAATTTCGACCCCCATTGTGTTGACGGCATAATAATGTCCCTGTGGTTATTAGTAACATTAATTAAAATCCAATATAAAGAATAGTTTCAAAATATTCTGCAGAGATTATAAAATTTCTTTATAAAATAAAGAGGCAAAAAGTACTTGAATCATTTAGAAACTCCTTATTTAGAAATTATTATAGAGGAATCGAATGCAGTCACATGTAATAAATAGGGTGATGGAACCAATAGTTGAGGAAATATTGAGGTTCTAAATATATACATTTTTTAATCATAAACAAGGCCATCCTTGTAAATTGAAATGTATGATTTAAACAAATAAGTATCTGAGCTACTATAAAAAGGCTTTATTATCATCTCAGGATTTAAAAATTATAAAAATATATATTAAAGGATCCAATTCTAATACTTGGGACCTTATAATGATTCGGTAATTGGAACGGTTGGACTCTGTGTTGGTTATGGATTACTTCGTTTGTTTCCATTGCTTAGTCATTGTTTTCAAATTGCGGTGTTGCGGAGGTCTGTTATGAAGCATGTTTGGTGGGATAGTGATTTTCAAATTTTTGGACGGAGCATTTTGTCGTTGACCGAATTCGATTTATCCGCCATTTCTGGATTTTATTCAAGCGAGCTAAAATTACTAAACAGCCAAGATGACTGGACTCGATCGGCGTAACGTTTCAGTTATAGTTTTTATTTTAACCTCTGAATACATTACAGAACTCAATGCGCAGACTCGAGGTATTCGATTCTTGACTTCGCACAGTGGGCCAGGATCGTCAAATTTTGGCCAAAAATACAATTTTTCAACTTTTAAATATGCACAAAAGAATTTATCCACAGTATATGAACACAAAAGAGACTACTTAAAACCACAAGACAAACAAACAGCACTAACTAGACATATTGACAAATATAACCACACTTTCGACTTCGATAATACAACAATTTTAAATAAAACTGAAAAATATAGAAAAAGATTGGTTTTAGAAATGACTCGCATTGTCACTTCAAACTCGGTTAACGAAAGAAAAGATATTGAACATCTATCAGAAATTTATTTACCACTTCTCTAAAGATTTAAAAAATAATTTATACAAAAAAAAGGGGAAAAAAATGCAATACGAAAAATTATGGGGAACAAAAAATAAATGAATAAAAAATAAATAAATTTAAAAGAAAATAAAAGAAAAGAAAATTAAAAAATATATATTTCTCATATTACTACGTCTCACACAATTTCTTCCATGGAAGAAGTGGTTGCAACCACTTAGTCGCCATACAGAATCTTTACAAACCATAAAAGTTAAAACACATGTTAATTTAAAACCGAAAAGTCAAAAGTCTTCAGTATTTAAAAAACAGCCAAACATATCACATCTCACATCTCAAGTTTATTTCACATCTCAATACGTTAATATTGCTTATAAGTGTTTTGTTTTATTTTAAAAAATGAGAAATAAATAAATATTTTTTAAATGTTTAAAAAAAACAGTGAAACAACAATAATGTACAAAAATTGTGTTATGTAACCAGGTATGAGTTTTAATGTCTTCTTAATAAATTTCATTTATTCCTAATTCAGGTATATACAAATATTTCATTACCATTTTATTATCAAACTAAAATATATGTAATTTGCAGAATATCAATAAAATTACTGAAGAGGATCCAAACGAGGATCGAAACGTCTAAAAAAATTTAAAATTTAGTTTTTTCATTTTAAATTTGATCCTACAAACCACAAAATCTCTACACTAATATAATAATTTGATCACAAAAGAGTCTATATTCAATATAAAAACAATTTTCAAAATTAAACAATTTTGATGAACAGTGGTATTTAACGGTTTTTTGTGTCGCTGATTACGAATCTGATGTCAGATTTCAAAAATTCAAAATGGCGGATCCAATATGGCGGACATAAAAATTTTAAAATCAATAAATTTGAATTAAACATAAGTAACTATAGGTTTTTTGGGTCGCTGATTACGAATCTGATGTCAGATTTCAAAAAATCAAAATGGCGGTCATAAAAATTTTTTTTAAAAATTTTTACTACGATCGTGGTAGATCCTGGAAACTACAGTACGTTTTATTTTTGTAGGCTAATAACAGTAAATTTTTTTTTATTTTCTGAATTTTATAGACACTAGTTTTGTAATCACCAAACTTAAAAACTCTCAAGCAACAAATTGTAGGCAAATCTTATCCAATATAAAATCCACTTGTATTCTTACATCAGATTCGTAATCAGCGACCTAAAAAACCCCTAGATACAAAGTTTCATAAAAATCGATTAATTTTAAAATCTTTATGTCCGCCATTTTGGATCCGCCATTTTGAATTTTTGAAATCTGACATCAGATTTGTAATCAGCGACCTAAAAAACCCCTAGATACAAAGTTTCATAAAAATCGATTAATTTTAAAAATTGTATGTCCGCCATATTGGATCCGCCATTTTGAATTTTTGAAATCTGACATCAGATTCGTAATCAGCGACCCAAAAACCCATAGATACCTATGTTTAATTCAAATTTATTGATTTTAAAATCTTTATGTCCGCCATATTGGATCCGCCATTTTGAATTTTTGAAATCTGACTTCAGATTCGTAATCAGCGACCCAAGAAACCTTTAGATACTTATGCTTCATTAAAATTGATTCATATAAAAAATTTATGTCCGCCATATTGGATCCGCCATTTTGAATTTTTGAAATCTGACTTCAGATTCGTAATCAGCGACCCAAGAAACCTTTAGATACTTATGCTTCATTAAAATTGATTCATATAAAAAATTTATGTTCGCCATATTGGATCCGCCATTTTGAATTTTTAACATCTGACTTCAAATTCGTAATCATCGACCCCAAAAACTGTAGGTAGCATACTTGTTATTCGTAAATATCTTGTTTTTTTTAAATAATGATTTTTGGCCAAAAATCGACGATCCTGGCCCACTGTGAGTCGATATAATTCTCGAGTCTGCGCAGTGAGTTCTTTAATATATTTGGAGGTTATGTTAAAAACTCTATTTTTGTTAAAATGTCAAATTAATCCAGGATTATCATAAATATTATGGTTTTATAAAAGTTGCTATAAAATTTACAGCTTAACGAAAAATTGAGGAATAATTCTTGAACAAAGTTTTCCCGTGCCACTGGTTTAGTTAAAGTTGTAGGTTTAATTTTGCTTTTAATGACAAGGTACTCCACTTGCTCCTTTTGTGTTTAAAAGTGTTTCCCAGGTGCATGCTGTTAGCGCTGTGAGAATAAAAATTTTCTGCAGCATTGAATTTTTTCAAATTAGCGAGTTATAATTTATTATGAACTATTGCGTGCAATAAGGAATAATTCTTTTACAACAAGATTCTGTAAAAAATTCAAATTTTATTACAAATTTGTTAACATGTTCTTAAAGAAAGTCTTATTTTACACATCACCATTTTTAAGCATGGTAAGAAGATCAAGTGTTCATGGGAGCAGAACAGTTTTTATATTATGGAATGTTTGCTATAAATCAGTTATATCGTTGAAAATGAAAGAAATTAACTAAACGTGTACCATGTACAATTTTTAGATCAGTTAAGTATTGAATGTATATTATTTATTAGTTTTAATAAAATTTAATTTTCAGAACAAACATTGTGGCTGTATAAAAATGTTGATAAAGTTTAAGTACTGCATAGTAAATGACAGAAATAAAATTGTTTTGCTTTAACGGTTTTTATATTTGCTGAAGTAGTATACTGAAAGGTCGATTTACGGAATCGACGAAAATTAATAAGAAGAAGACTGCCGAACGGCAGCAGCACCACGTACAATAAAGACGCTCTAGGCCCTTTAATATTCGTAATTACGCATGAGAACAATTTTTAAAAAAGAAGTAATATATTCAATATTTTCAAGTATGATAAATTTTATTGTACAATTCTGTACTTTAAAATATACTAAAACTTTCTAATTAATTCAGATTATTTAGTGCAAAACGAAACGCATGCGCCCAGTTGAAAATTCTCTGATAGAGCAGTTAAAATTAAGGAGTTGAATATTTAGAAATATCTAAAAATAATAAAATGCCGAATAAGCATTTTCAGCAGGATTTGTTGAATATAACATTTCTTTGGCAGCCGCCATTTCACATGGAAGAAAACTTGAATTTTCGACTGGCACCATTAAATATATGAATTAATTGTAAAATAAAAAAATTATACTCATGTATAATTTTTTAATACATGATTTTTAACACTTTTACAAGAATTTTCAACTGCGGCGAGCATGAATCAGGTTTGTATGCGACTTTGTATGTTCTCATTTTCCATCTGTTCATACCTCAAAAATGCTCCTTCGGGCTTCTAGTATATTAATGAAGCAAATAGATACAATTGTTTGGCCAAGTTTTTCTGATAATCAGAATTTAATAGTTTTATTAAAAATAGTCTACTTATTTAAAAGATAGTAAAAATAATCCAAATTATGTGGCTAAATATAATACAGAATATAGGACTCTGAAAAGACTTATGTCACATACATAAGTTTGTAAATATTTTGGAAGTTCTTTAAATGTTGGATCCATGTTTGTTCCCTCATTAAAATACATTTAGAAATAATTTAAATACAATATAAAGATATAAAGAAAAATACGGTTGTAAAATGCTTTAAAAAGGTCACGATGGATACATTGCAACTGTAAGTACTAATTGCAGGATGAAGGCCAGCAGGAAACCCACCTAAAAATAAGAACAACTATTTTTAATGTTTTAATTGATTAAAGTTATTATTTTAATGGATTGGATTATTAAAAGTAGTTATGTACTTCGAGAGTTCGAGCTAATAGCTTTAACATATATTTTCGTCATATTTTATAAAAATAGTTTAAAAGTGTTAAAGGTTTACACCCCCACAACATCTAAACTTGCAGCAATATTGTCAAGATTCACAACATTGAGTCAATGTTGTTAATGTTTCTGCAAGTTCAGATGCTGTGGGGGCATTTTATTAATAGAAATTAAATGATTTAACCTCTGTGGATTTTGTGTCGGTAGCTGTTCCCTTTCCAGTATTGCATAGAGAAGTTTCACAACATGCTATGCAAGCATATAGTTTAGTCCGCTCGCCAATTATAATACAACCAGGTTCACATTTGTTGGTGCAATTTCTTTGCAAAGCCCACATCATTGGTACCGAAGTTGAATTCTCGTTACTCCGTGTATATGAAAATCTTTTAACCTGAAAAGCATTTTTATTTCAACATACAATAAAACTGATGATAAATTATTTTTGAATTGCTTGACTCATCGATATAGGGTATGTATTTTTTAAATTCATCGCTTGTATGACGATCGGATAAGATTCGCTTTAAATTAGTTACTCGAGGATTTTCGGGGTCACTGATTAGCAATCGAGTGTTAGTTTTTGGGGTCGCTAATTACTAAACTGGAATCAGATTTTTAAAATTCAAAATGGCTGACGAAATTAAAAAATTGATTGAATTTGCCTGAAACTCACTCCTCGGGGGTTTTTGCAGTCGCTGATTAAGAATCTGACATTGGGTTTTTAAAATTCAAAATGGGGGATTTGTTTAGATTTCCTTAAAAAAATTTACTCTGGGGTTTTAGGGGTTGTTGATTACGAATCTGGCATCAAATTTTCAGAATTCAAAATTATTTTGATTTTTAAAATTTGTTAAATAACAATCAAATGAATAATTTTAGAAAATATTATATAAGATAGAGAAACTTTCTGAAGAAATACAAGAAGGAAGAGCAAAAAACGTTCGATTAGTAAGACAACTGGGGTAAAAGATGCTTTAATTTCTAAAGGACTAAGAAAGGGAGCACGAATATACGTCAATAAGCAGATAATTCGATTAATCAGAATTGAACCAATAAAGGGGTGATTTTTCTAGAATGTTTCTTTTTCTCAGTGAGAAATAAGTAAAGAACTAATTGTGATACACTCTGAAAAAGAACCCTTCTAGCTTCTACAATTTTTTTAGTCAGCGTCACAATTATTCAAATCTATAATATTTTAAATCATAATGAGTTTTGAAAAATTTTCGCCAAACATTTAACGATCATTCATTTTAAATGACCTTTGCTGGACAAAGTAGAAACCTAGTAATCGCATTTTCCGTAAGGTCAAAGTTCACTTCGGTTATAAACAAATCATGAATTATGTTACGTAATTTTTAAAAATAACTCTATTAGTGGTTTACGAAATAAATTTTCATATTTTTCCCAGTAAAAAAAAAGTATTGAGTGGAGCCGTTCGGAATTGGGAGTAAGCATGAGCCAATAAGGAATAAAAAGTTCCTTATCGAAAAACTCTTGGAATTTTTGTCTTTCTCTTTCTTTTTTATGTAAAAAATATAATAATGGGGTCTTTACTTTCAGCAGATAAGGACGCGCACATTCATCTTCTGAATGCCCTATCATGATCGAATATGATAACTCTATTCTTAAAAAGTTTAAAAACTTTATATTTATTGACATTATATTTGTACTTTGAGTCAGAATATGAAACCTCAGGTTGCGTGAATCGTTGAGAACTTATTTATAGTTATATCGATTTATATATATTTATTTGCTTTATCTAAGGGTATCTAAAAATTAGCATGGGGAATTGATAATAAGAAAGGTTCACAGATCAAGTTAGAAAATTTACTTTTGGTAGCCACACAGCAGACAGCACAAATATTGTGCCATGTTTGGGCAGTTGTAAGGAAGGTGCTTTTTTAAAAAACAATTATAATTAAAAGTTAAACAGATCAATTTTTGTGTGAAAAAATCAATTTCTTAAATAAAGCTGTTCAAATAAGTTTCAGTTAATTTTGATTTATTTATTAGACAAGGACTATTTCGTGCAAGGCAGAAGCAGATTCTCTAAAACATAACTTCATTAATGGGAGACCTACTTTTGTAACAAGATTTCTTTGGAGGAAGGATTTTATTGATATGTTCTTATTTGAGGAAGGGAATATAATATCAAACAGAGAAATGTGTTAATTTCAGCATTTCAGATTTTAGTATTATACATAGGTACTAAAGAAAAACTCTTAATGATAATAAAATTTTTTAATTTTAAAAACTGTTCAAAGGAAAATCAAGTTCTGTTTTAAAATATGCAAAGCACTTTATATTGAAATATACTTGATTTAATTAATCCTATTGAATTAATTCAAAAGAATAATTAAATACTTTTTAGTTGTTATTTTAATACAGATAACAGGCATTTGATATAACTACAAAATATTAATTTTTTTTCTCTCAAAATAGATGTTCCAGAAAAAGAATAAAATTTTGTTGATTAATTAAAATTACCTATTTATTTATTCAATAAACAATTACACGTATCACAGTAAAACGTGAGGTGTTAAAATAACACTAGAATGGATTAAAATAATCTGCAACAGTTTATTCCCTCTAGGATTAAATTAACACCAGAAAGGATTACAATAATCTATTTTGGTGTTATTTTTAACTATGAATGAAATTTTACTTTAAATAAAACACCAAAGTCAACGATTTGTAAAAATTCAACGAATTTAGCTTCTCCAGTGAGAATAGTAAGTTAGTAAGTTAGTTACTAACTTACTAACTAACTTAGTAACATAGTTGGGTGATTCTACAAAAGAGGGAATTTTGATGTCTGAAGCATGTTTTGTATATTAATTTTGGAAAGAATAATTTTACTTTTAATGGAAATTGTAAATCTTAATGGTTTCTATTATGGCACAGAAAAAAAACCGATGAAAAAAAATATTTTTTTGCAAAAAATACACATTATAGTGCTAAATTCTCATTCGTCTGGCATGTCCCTTTGGGAGAATGACAGTTCATATTGAGAATAAATATCACATTTCAAATGTTTTGCGGAAAATTCATACTGAATTAGTAATTTTGAATAGTTGTAGATTACTAATATGGAAATAATTATGACGTTTCTCTATATCTTATTTATAAAATATCTTCGCGAAGTTTGTCCCCTGAATTTGTTATCATTCGTCTGGCAGTGCAAAAAATGTAAAAATTATTAAAAATCAACATTCTGATGAAGTGACTGTTCGTTGTAGTTGTTAATTAAACTAAACTAAATGTGATACCAATCGGGTTTTATTGAATCTTCTAATCTATTAACCAAGATTTCTCAATTTGTAACGGAGATTGTGTTGTGACCAGACAAATTCTCATTCGTCTGGCATACATTTTTTAAAAAATATTTTATTTTTTGGTTATTCTATAGACTTATATTTTGTAGATTATTATTCTCTATAAGATAGAACTGAAGGATTTTTTCATTTAATGTTATTTTTCTATTTTTTAAACAAAAAATGCCAAATTCTCATTCGTCTGGTTCTCATTCGTCTGGCACTTTTGAGATAGGATGTACACTATATCACTAAAAATAGCGTAAAACTAACAATTTTCAACTATTGTTCGATTTTCTGGTCTTAAAATAATCCTAATTAAATTTACAAGAAATTGCTATAACTGAATTTTCAATTTTCATTTCGCATAAATAATTATATTGACATAAACAAACAAATGGAATAAGTAGGTATTTTTTTATATGAATAAAATATAGCCCACAAAAATCAAAGTAGTTCTTTATTATTAGACACTTGAACTTACTTTTACAATTCTATGATTTGTGAAATTGTGCTTATAGAAACAAATAGACCATCCGTAATTTGTTAAAAACAATTATTAATTAAATTACAACAAAAATTAATTAAACCGATGACTTTTATTGATCCTCGTAAAAATCGTTACTCGGGGGTTTTCGGGGTTGCTGATTAAGAACCTAATGTCAGTTTTTAAAATTTTTCAAATTCAAAATGGCGGATCCAATATGGCCGACGATTTTTGAGAAACTTAACATATTCGTCTGAAAATCGTTACTCGGTGATTTTCTGTTTCGCTTATTACCAATCCAAGGTCAACTTTTTTCAAATTAACCATTGTTTTCACAATTTGTTTAAACAATTTAATTATGTTTTTAGTTCTACTACTATATTTATAGTTCATAGATGTATAAAAATAAATAAATAAATTTTAAATAATTTTTAATAATCAAAATTAATTAATTAATTACAATTTATTATTATTATTATTATTAATTATTAGTTAGTTAAATAAATTAAATAAAAATAAATTAATAAATTATTAAAAAGTAAATTCAAAATTAAACTCAACGTTAAAAACTAGAGGTGTACTCAAAGTATTTAGTATTCGATTTCATTTCAGTCCTCTGAAATTTCCGTATGCATCAAGTATACCGTATTTTAAATAATCTTGAACTATCTGATTCAAAAGTTGCGAAAATGGTGGTAACTTGTAAATTGTTAGTTCTAACTTTTCCTCTAGGTTAATAACTTATTTAACGTTTAAATATATTTTACAAAATCAAATTTAATAAATATCGAACAATTTTTTAAAAATTCATTTAATTAGATTCTTAATCAGCAACCCCGAAAACCCCCGGGTAACGATTTTTAGACGAATACGATAAGTTTTTTCAAAAGTCGTCCGCCATATTCGATCCGCCATTTTGAATTTGGAAAAACTGACATTGGATTCTTAATCAGCAACCCCGTAAACCCCCGAGTAACCAATTTTATAAAAATCCATTCATTAATTTTTATGTTAATGTGAATTTTCTTGACACGATTTTAATTCTCTGGAAAAATTGTTTATAAATAACCATAACTTTTGTAATTTTTAATATTTTGTCTGGCCACTTATGGATGTCTTTATTAGTACCATTAACTTGAAGTTAAAATACTTTTCAGACCTTAAATGAGAAAAAAATGTTGTGTCCAAATTTTCTTGATTTTCGTCCTTCGTTTGTAGAATCACCCAGTTACTAAATTCAATTGTTTTCAAAAATTTTTGAAAATCGTCAAAATTTCATATCTCTTTATAAATAATAAAATTCTTCTCTGATATTCAATTATTTTACAAACTTTTAATCAAATTCTTGGCAAAATTTCAATTATTTTCAAAAGTTTTCTAAAATTCAATGATTTTCAATATCTACTATTTCAATAAAATTTTCCAAAAGAATTCCATTATTAAAAAAAATTTGAATAAAATTCTACGCAAACATTCAATTATTTTCATAAATAATAAAAATTTTTACAGGAATTCAATTAATTACAAATTTTTTTTATAAATTTCTTCGCAATAATTCAATTATTTTCATAAATAATAAAATTTTTACAGGGATTCAATTTTTTTTATAAATAATAAAATTCTTTTAGGAATTCAATTATTTTCATAAATAATAGAACTCATTGCAGAATGTCAATTATTTTTAATGCAATTTTAATCGAATTCCTCGAAAAATGTAATTATTCTTAAAAATTTTATTAAAATTCGTCCAGAGAATTTAATGATTTAAAAAATTTGTTGATAACATTTTTCATGAGAATTTAATTTTGAAGAAACATGAAATTAATAATTTACTTATTTTTGTATTTAAATAATTGAATTCTCGTAGAATTTACTGATAAAAATGGTTTTAAAAATGAATTTCAGTTAAAATTTTAGATTATAATTAAATATTAAAAGCATTATAACGTGGATTTTTAGAAATAACTAATAAATTTTGAGAAAGTTTCAAATTAAAATCATTGAAATTCTTAATTTTTCATATTTTTGACAACCAATTTTGTGGAATTAATTCTTTTTAAAAGTTTAATAAGATTTTTATTGAAATTATTTCAAGTTTTTATTTTTCAATATATATTTAATTGCAAAATTTCCGAATAATTGAAATTTTGTAAAATTGAATTGTAAACGAATGAATTTGAAAATTTTCAAAGAACTTTTTTAAAAATTATTAAAAATAATGGATTTATTGAAGAATTTCAGTTAAAAACACTAGAAAAAAAAATTAATTTTAGAGAAGTTACAAATTATTGTAAAAATTCAATTATTTTCATGAGCAATAAAATTCTTCTTAAGGATTCAATTATTTTTACTAATAATAAAACTCATCGCAGCGTTTCAATTATTTTTCATACAATTATAATTGAATTCCTTGAAAAAAGTTATTATGTTCATGCAAGTTTTAATAAAATTCGACAAAAGAATTCAATTATTTAAAAATTTGTTAATAAAATTCTTTATGAGAATTGAATTTTGAGAAACATTCAATTATTCAATAAATTATTTACTTTAGCACTTAAATTATTAAATTCTTGTAGAATTTTCTAATAAAAATTGATTTTCATTTCATAAAAATGAATTTCAGTTATAATTTTAGATTATAATTGAATATTAAAAGCAATACAGCGTGAATTTTTAGAAATAATTGAATTTTGAAATTAATTTTTTTGAAAAAGTTTAACTGAGTTTTCTTTTATATTATTTGAAGGTTTTATTTTCTAATATGTATTTAATTAAAGAATTTAGGAATAATTGAAATTTCGTGAAATTGAATATTGCAAACAAATGGATTTGAAAATTGCCAAAGAAGTTTTTCGAAAATTATTAAAAATAATTGATATAAAGTAAAATTGTAGTTAAAAAATTTTTGAAAATAATAATTGAATTCAAATAATGAAAATAATTTTGAAGAAGTATAATATTCTTATAATATAAAACAAATGATTTTATTACTTAGTCATCTTTATTTATTATCAAAAATGAAGAAATCGATCACTCCGAGTCGAATCACTCCGAACTCGGAGTTATCGATATCTTCATGTTTTATAGTTATAAAAAAATTTAATAAACTAAAATTTCATTCATTGTAAAAAATAACACCAAAATTGATTATTTTAATCTTTTTTGGTGTTAATTTAATCTGCAACACTTTTTAATACCTCACGATTTACTGTGTATTGAAATAAATGTTCTGTTCATCTGAAATGAAAAATCAATATCAATTCTTAATCTATGATGTTGCTATCGTCCGTATAGCAGGATTTTACCTCTCGTTGAAAATGAACAATTTAGCGGTGTTTTTTGCAAAAATGGAGAAAAATCCTTATTTCTTTTCGTTATAAATGAGATATAAAGTTATGTACTGAAATTAAATTTTTGCTGGATTGAATTACGGACGATAGCAACGATATCACAGATTATGAATAGCGATTGATTTTCTGCTTTAGATGACCAAGAGGGTCGCCCAGTTGAAAATTCATATATACTACATATGATATGTGATATAATTTATAATATGATATGTAATATAATATATAATATAATATATAATATGACATATAATATATAATATGATATATAATATAATATATAATATATAAATTTCATGTATACACAAGTTCCCTTAAGTAGAGCCTGTACGTGTTTATGTATATCTACTTGTACCAGTTCTTTCATAGGTCTCGCCACGAACGAGTTTTAAGTTATAATTATGTGCACAAGCATCAAATTTAACTTATTAACTTTGACGACCGTTTTCTTGAAAACTTATTTTCAAATAAGAGGTCCTTTTCAACCGTTCAAAGTGCCTATCGTTGTTAGTAAAAATAAACAGTCCTGCTGTTAAATAAAGCTTCTAAATTTGAGAAAAATTTGCTTACCATACATATTCTTTTGTCATTCGCACATTTTTGAACAAGAGTCGTATTATTTTCAGATAAATCGGCACATTTTTCTCCATCCTCCATTGTATCGCATTGGTAACATAAAAGATCATTTACACGTTCAGTAGCTGCATGAGTTCTGTGTTCTTTAGACATGAGCTGTCCTGAATAAAAATTAAACTTGTTTAATACATCAGCTTTTGTAGAAAAATAAAGAGAATAATATTCTTAATACAATAAATAAATAATAAATAATAACCGAAAGTATTACAACAAAAACTTAAAATTAAATGATTGTAAGGGTAACATAACAAGTGTAATTTTATGTTACAAATAACGGTTAACCGTAAATTTTATAAGATTTATTTTTACAAACAACGTGAAATATAGTAAATATGAAATGCATACCTTTACTAAATATTACTAAACACTGACATAATAGAATAAAAATGAAAATATAGATTCGTTGCAGCATATTTAAAGGTCGTTGGAAAAAATACATTTATTAAAAGTAACTCATTCTGTTTGGTAATTTTTTATTGCTTGTGATGCTGTGGAAGTGATCATTTTTATCTCCGTTTGATATGCTGTTGAAATCTAAAACTGGAAACAAGAAATGTCCATGTGCAGTTGTGGAGCGCACGCGTGCGAAGGTAGTTGCTCAGGAAATCTTCAAACACTAAAAATCGATGTCACTTGCAATGGGGATGTACTACCCATTACATTCTTCAATATTACGTTAAATTCACGTTTAAACTGATTTATTAATTTTCAAGATAAAGTGTTTTTGAAATATTTCTGCGCAGAATTATTGATTAACTTTTAGATTCTGATAACCTTTATAATTTTTTCAGTTATTTATACGACTCATTCATTGACGTGAATATTTCCTCTATTTCAAGCAATTAGAAGTAACTGCCAATAAATTTAGATGAAATTAGAATATAATTCACGAAATTCATTTAAAATTAAACCTTGGTAAATATTTTTGCTGCGCCATTTACGTGAGAAGACAATAAAAAAAAATTAATAAAACAATCCAAAATCAGAACTAGTCAAGAATATGTTTTATGATGATTATGATTGAAATATTAGACGAGACATAGAGTAATATATATTATCAATTAATTAAAGATTATTTAATATGTACTCACAATTTTTTTTGTGGAAAACTAGAAATATTTAAATAAATGTAGGTACTGTTATTCCTTGTTTAATTTTGCAATTTACTGATCTTTCAAAGGACTAATCAAATATATTCTTAAAAAAATATTTAAAACTGATGTATATCTACTTGAATCGAATAATTTTTATTTAAGTTAATTCAAAGATATATATTTGATTTAATTACTTATTATTGTTACAATATACAATTTATTTAACTAAAATAAAAATTATTCGATTCAAGTAAATATTCATTTGATAATAGTCAAGTAATCGGTTATTTGAAACAAATAAATTTTTTAAGTGCGTATGTGGTTTAAGATGAGACTTATATGGAATAAACCCGTTGTTTAAAAAAACCAAATAATTATCTTATTCATTAGACATAAGAACTTTTCTTTCCGATAAGATCCTTTTACGAAAGACAAAGTATGTGATAAAACGTTGAGTTAATCGACAGCAATTAAATATTGCAAATATAAAAACACTTTAACAAAAAATAAATGGCACATAGGAATTAATTTTGAAAAATTAAAAATAAAGAACTACTATCAAAATAAATTTGGTTAAAGAGTAACTAATTATAATTATAAACTTTTATAAAAGATATTAATTTAAATTATATTCCGTTAAATTGCAGGTATACGTCAGAAACTACATTTAAGTTAAATTTAAAAGATTTTAATGAAAAAAAATTGCAATTAAATTGTACACTGCAGAACTGTATATACCTAAGGTAACTTTACGTTCAATTTAGGTCAAACCATCCCTAAAAAATAACAGTTGTCTCCTAGTTTCTCACTGCCGATGAAACTTGGAAAAGTCGTGAAGATGTACAAAGAAAAATAAAAAATTTTATAAAGCATTTTCTAAAAATTGTAAATTTACAACATTTTTAAAAATTTTATATCACAATGTTTCGTAAACATATAAAATTTTTGAAAAGAATGAAAATATTTTAAAAAATGTCATTCTGTAATGTGTGTATGTGTGTGTAAACATTACATTTTCATAAATATCTCAATATTATGAAGAGCTTTGTGGACATAAAATGAGAATACTTTGAGATGGATTCATAAAGTTTAACTATATTTTTTTGGATTTTTAATTTTTCAAAAAAAACCGTTTTTTGTCCATAAGTTTAAAAAAATATTAGGACACCTATAAATGTTTTCCTTAATTTTGTAGAATTTTTTCAGACACATTTTTTGACCCCTTATTGAACATTTCTCGTTCATATTAGCCGGAGATATTAAACTTTTAAAAATCTAAAATTTTGAAAAATAAGACTTGTTTTTAAATTTTGTTAAGATATGTAGGAGTAACTTTAAAAGTCGCATAACTAACTTATAGAGCATTAAAAAACGCTTCGATTTATCTATTTTTGAACCTAATTCGATTTATTAGAAATTACGAAATCATTGGTATTTTAAAAACTAATAATTGTAAAGGTCTTATTTTTTAAATTTTTTTTTTAAATGTGGATGTATGTAGTAATAAAATTATTGTTATTTTAAAAACCAAAAATTATGATAAAGACATTCTTTTTAACCAAAATATTTCAAATTCGAATTTATGTTTTTTGATTTCAGGAATTAAAAAATCACATTTTACAAATACTTATGTAATAATAAAAAACTAAAATGAATTCATCGAAAAAAATCCCCATGAGAAAGCAAAATGTTCATGAAATGAACACAGTAAATCCGTCTTTTAACTTGGCAGCGGTCTTCTTACACTATTTCTAAAATAACATATTTATTTTTAAAAAATATTTTACGGTAAAATTATACATGTACATTTTAATATTAATGCATTTAAATGAATCGTGAATCTTAAGAAGGACTCAACTCGAAAAACCATATTAATACTATTACCTTAATATGAAATTTACTTTTACACGGTTTTCTGAGTTGAGGCCCTTTTTAAAATTCTCTATTCAATTATGTTAATACTTTCAAAAAATAAAACATTCAATTGAGTTTACATTAGAAATTATAACATTTAAAGTTAATATCACACCTACTCTTTCTGTTCTAAATATAGAAAAAATGAAATAAGACTTTTTATTTTTGTTTTAATATTAATAACACAGTGTTGCAATGAATGAAAAAGTAAAATTACATTAAATCGGACATATCCTAACTTGTTCGCTTTAAAAAACTAAAAAAAAATGGTATGTATTAAATCTCTCAAATACTCAAAAAATTCCATTTTAAAGCTAAAAAACAGTTTTTTTTAAAGTTAATGCATAAAATAGCTTATAACTTTGACATTTTCGGTCCAAATTTAGTAATGGATGTTGAGGAAGTAGATGTTACTTGTTTCTTTATAAAATTCAATTGTTTTAATTGTTATTTTGTTGATATTCTCGACATTTACGAGAATTTGTCGATCGAGACTCGTTCGACATCCAACACTTTCCAAACCCAAGGATTCTTTTTATTTTAAAAAAACTAAAGAAATGGGCTTTTTAACCCCCAAAAAAATTGAAAATGGCGGACCCGACATGACGTATACAAAAAATTTTTAATTAATCAGATTCGCTTGAAACTCGTTACTTTGAGGGTTTTCGAGATCGCTGATTGCAAATATGATGTCATATTTTCAAAATTCAAAATGTCGGATCAATATGGTTGATAATTTTAAAATCGATTCGATTAGATCGAAATTCATTTCTCGGGAAATTTTGGACAAAAATGAGGTATTAACCTTCGGAGAACACTCCTCTTTTTTAGATCATTATTTCAATGCTCAACTAATGTTGAACTGCTCATCTATGATCAATCTAAGGATTTGATTTAAATATAGTTTAAACTCTGTAAAATAAGTCTGTATACTTTAAAATCCTTATAAGAAATATTAAACAATAGATAAAAAGCTTTTAGTAAAATATTGTGGGGTCTGAATGACCCCATGTGTTCTCCGAGGGTTAAAATCCTAACCTTCAACAATTTGTCGGGTAGCCCCGGACAACCGTGAAAATATTGTAGATTTTAATTAATTGGACTTGATAAAGTAACAGTTTTTAGAAAATATTCTAGTTTAAAAAAAAAGAATTAATGAAAAAACTGAGTCGGTATTTCAAAAATGAAAGTTAAACTGTATTCTATAACCACTTGTATTTTGTTTTAATATTAAAACGCATTATATTATAAATTAAGAGTGTCCGGGGCTATATGCTCCGAAAGTTAATTAATACAAAAAAAAATAAATAATTTATGTGTTTCTATGTTCAAATTAATTTCACATATTAACATAATAAACAGTCTATTTCTATTTTTGAGTTGATAAATTTTATAGTACTCTGCATTACAATAATTGATAAAGTTTTTGTAGTTTTTCCATTGAAGCTGCATGTAAAAATCGGAACGACTTTGATATCCTTAGAATGCAATATGACACTTCTATTAATAAAAACAATAGTAAATCCTGGGTTTTTCATTCCAGAAGCAATGTTAATTACATTTTTAAAAATAGATCACCAATGAGCGAATTTAACAAGTCGAAGTTTTAATTCTCTTGAACTGTCTAATTTCGAGAATTAAATGAAAATTTTTAAAAAATGATATATATTATAATGAAAGTTTAATTTTCTTTTAATTTTCTAATTTTGCAAATTTTTCTTTAATATATGCCATAAACTAGTAGACCACGAAGGGGATTTTGAAAATATGGCAAGTATATAAAAAATACAGTTTTCACATACAAATTTAATTACTTAATTGGTTGTAAAAAAAATTTTACTACATATCGAAAAATCCCTACGTGGTCTACTAGTTTATTACATTACTGAAGCAAGTTTTGCATGTGAAGAAAGCAGTGAAGCTAAAGAAAGTGTGCAGAAAAGTGGATGCGCATGTGCACAAGACTGTTTGGTGTTAGCGAACAGAAGTTGACAACTGCATTTTCCTATGTGCATTAGAGTATAAAGTCACGTTTTCCAGCGAGTGTTAAATAATAAAATTTCATATCGGCACTTAAACCTCAGTCAA